TTTTGTAAGGAGGTCGTGGATCTTGTCCCGACTTCCCTCATAGTATTTAGAGGCATTCATAGACAGTAGTAGTTGAAGAGTCTTTTTCCCATTTCCTTTGTGATGTTTTAAAGACTTTGAGTTGAACGTTTGTGGCTATTTGAGTATTTCAGATAACTTTGAGTTAAACCAGTTTCATTAATGAGACATATTGAGCTGAGTTTTGCATTTAAGTTTCCTATATTGTTGAGCAAGTCTTTCGCTGAGTATTGAGCCAGGCTAAGGGTTCACTTGGGGATCAACAATGATTCTTGAGTGTCGGCCACGTCCAGGGTGTAGACTCGGGGAGTGACACTCGAGATGGAAAAATTATGAACATTTTAGCCAAATCAAATAGTAGAAAAGACTTATTTATAATGAAATGTTATGAATAGTAAAAAAGACTCAATTTATTATGAAATGTATGAGTAGTAGAAAAGATCCAACTTATTATAATATGTTTTAACTTAAATATGATAGAAATTTGGGAATTTTACTATTTATTTAATTAATTAGATTTTTTATAATATTTTAATTTAGTACAAAAATAAAATAGTAATTTAACTTTAAATTTGTAGCTTGCACTTTTAGTATAATACTTCCTCCATTTCATTTTTTTACGACACCCTTTCTTTTTTAGCACATCCCAATAAGTATGTCACGTTATTATTATACTTTAAATTTTCTTTTTACACATATATCTTAAAGAATTTATTTAGACCATAAATTTAAAAAAAATGAAAGGAGGGAGTATGATATATATAGTACTTACTAATAAGTACTTTCATATTTTTGGGCCTCAACATTGGGGGCCAAGGAAAAGGATTCACCTGCCTTACCTCATCTTCTTCTAAATAACTTCAAGTATTAGCTTTTCTTTTCTTTGGTTTCTTCATCCTAATTGCAAGGCATATGCTATTATTTAATTGCTATTTTGGAGTTGATGGAAGTGAAAGACACGAATTGTACTTCATTGGGCTATGGAAAACCTCCATGGATTTTTAAAGGCAGGCAAGTGTTGTATCCAATTATCTTACAAATTGTTAGTCTTTTTTTTTTTTTTTGACAAAGGTAACAGTTCTTACAAATTGTTAGTCTTGTGAATATAAATCAGCCATTAATTTTAATGTTGCAGTGCTTTATATCAGCTTCATCTTGTCAAAGCAGAGAACGCTAGAGCTTTCATTCCTAAAGAGTGCAAACTAGTTGAGGCATTTGGGTATCCATTTTTAAATTTTTGTAGGTTTTGTTTGGAATACCAATTTGTGTTTGATTTGTACTACTTTACTTGCAGATATACTCTTGGTGGGTTTTTTCTTGCTAGCTATGATGATAGTCCTGCTGGAATTTTCGATGAGGTTTCGTGTTGTGTATTATAGTTTTGTTTAGTAGACCAAGTGATTTGTTTGGTATTATTTAAGTTGAATTATTTCATTCTATATTGCAAGGCTGGCTGCTTTAATTTGTACAGGATTGTGATAGATTTGATTAAAGAATTCTGCTTTTTAGTTTAGTTAATAGTATTATTCTAATGCAAGCTGTTCAGCTTGTGGTGATTGCAGGATTAGTGTGGAATCCACCTACATCTTGTGCGTAAGTGTTTTACTTTCCTCTGCTTAGTACTAGTTATATACATTATGAAATAATTTTGGAATTTCTGCTTCTTGTGAAAACTGAGTATGGCCCCAACAAAATCAATCTGGACTCGTCGTTCAGATTCAATTTGACTTCTTTAGTGTTCCTTTTATTGCTTTCTTTCGTGTCCTGAAATTTAACATCCTTCTCGGGTATGTTTGGTATGAAGGTAAATGTTTTCTTGGAAAACAAATGTTTTTCTTAGTTCTTACTTAGTTTCTAGTGTTTGGTAAAGAAGCAAGAAAATACTATGCCAAGAGCATTTATATGTTATCTAGCAAAATATTATGGAGGCGGGATGGGATGGGGAGTGGGGTTTGAGAATGGCGGGGGTGGGATGGTCAAGGGGTGTGGGTTGGGGAGCAAACAATAACTTGGAATGCCACTTATGCAACTTGTTTTCCCAACTTCCATATGGGGAGTCATTTTCCTCCATTCCAAACACATTTCTCTTGTGTCTACTTTTTTTCCTTCTCTGGTGGTTTAGAAGGGGGAGTTTCATTGAAGCTCCGCATAGTAACTGGTTGATACTACAAATTTAGCTGTCACGAGTAAATCATTGAGCAATAGGAAAAAATGGGGATAATCCACGTAAACCTTATTCCAAACATTTTATTATCCTATAAATAATTTAGTTCCTTTTATCTCGGAAGACAAAATTGAAAATCAATAACTAGGGACAAATATTCAGAAGGATATAGTTGTATCATTACCAGGGTGTGGCATGAGATGAATCTCACCACCCTTAATTAACTAGAGGTCTCGTGTTCAAGCCTTGGAAATAGAGACTTTTAGTAGGGAGTGCTTTCCCACTTTGTTGACCTTATGGTGTGCTAATCTAGATTAGTTACGGCAGTTTGTTTCAGATACTGAATGGTTAAACCAAAAACTATTTGTGTATGCTAACAAACATATTTTTGTCAATAATAGATGGGCTGCCAGGGTGCTGGTGGGCAGTGATGAGGCATGCCTTCATGGACGGAAGGTAGGTAGAGATTACTTTCTGATATACATCTGTACTCCCAACCTCTGTGTTAATTAGAACGACTTCTTTTAATCATTTGATTAAAACAGTAATTTCCAGCATGAAGGCTTGAAAACCAATAAAGATAGGCACTCACTATATGTTCTTACTAAGAATCTAGTTTGCATCACTAATTTGATTTTTGTATATTGCATGGTTTTGACATAATCTTAATCATATCTCCTGTGTAACAGGTTGTAGGTCTTCCAAGCCAAGTTGCCAGGTTTTCAAAGGTACATATGAGTTGGTGGATTGGATCTTCTGTTGTTGAACATTTGAGTTGTAATTTTGTATATCAAGCATCATGCAGTTTAATTCTCCTGGTCAAGCTTTCGCAAAATGCTTTCAAATTACCTTATTCTTCTTAAACAAATACTCTTTTCTGCCATGTTGGCTATGAATTTCCTTTTTCCACAAGCTATGCACATGGTTTTTACTATGTTCTTTCTAAAGGTATACTGAAGGTAGCTGAAAATGTAGTTCTCGCCAATGTTTATCCAATTACTCGGCTGATGTTTAAAAAAGTGATATATTCTGAGCTACAACTCACTTTGTTGACCTGCATGCAGAAAATTACAGCACTTCCACAGACACCGGAAAGTAAATCAAGCAGTTTTCTAAGAAGGATTGGCTTGAGGACATCTTCTTCTAACTATAAGAATCACATGGACGTAGAAGTGACTGAAATAAAGAAACAGACAGCAATGAGTATCTGCAACATCAATGTTAATGCCACTGGTAAATAAGATGACACTGCATTATCTCTTGATAGACTAAATTCATAATCCAATGTTGTTTGTCTGCAACTTCCGTTGTAGAAATAGTTGTCAAGTCTGATTCAGGACATGGTCTAACTGGTCAAATAGGTAGTTCCTTTATTCAATAGAATAAGCAATCAATTCCTCCGTTCTTGCATTGTAGCCTAATATGCTCTTCTGCATATCCTAACCAAGGGAGGGAGTGTTTGCAAAATCTTGCAGTTTACATGTTTGACCAGTAGCAGGTTATTTGGAAACTTCATCTCGAATATCATACCCATTTTAATATTTGGTGTATTACGTCTCAATATCTTAGTGTGGAATCAACTCCTCGGTTCTTGCATTGTAGCCTAATATGCCAAACCCAAATATGCTAACCAAGGGAAGGGGTATTGGCAAAATCTTGCAGTTTGAGTGTTTGACCAGTAGCAGGTTATTTGGAAACTTCTCGCAAATATCATACTCATTTTTTAGATGTTACAATGTCCATTGGGAATTGGCAGCTTCTCAGCAGGATTCTAAGGGATGGATGGGTCCACTTATCAAAATGTCACTACCAAACTTCAGGTAATTGTTTCTATCTTGGTCCTTACTCCTTAGGGTGTTTACCTTTGAAGTAAATTTGGACTCGTAACTAGCAGTTCTGCTTTAAATTTCAGTGGACGGACGAAGTACAATTCTAATCTCCTCAAGTACTCTTGCCAGATTGAGTGCAGGTCTGTGCTTCTTAGCCCGACCTATTCATTGCCATATATCTCTCTGCTAATATTCCATAGGTCACTTGAGCAAGTGGAACTGAAGCATCTTCTTGGCCACTAATTGACATTAGAACTCGCTGTTAGGGCTAGTGATTTGTGGTTTTCTACTTTGCATATGTAGGGTAAGAGCAGTGCAACCAGCAAAAGTTTCGGGACCATCTGCGTTGGATGCAGACAAGGAAAATTCATCTGAAGATCAAAGCTCAAATGTGGAATCAGTAAGCAGAGTGCCCAGAGGGACCAAGAGAAATTTCAGCATATCTGTGATGCTGTCCAAGCCCATTTTGGCTTTAGAATTCAATCATCTGAAAATGAGAGTTGAAGCTCCTACTACAGTTACCGCGTGTTCACATGATACTACTTGACTAGTCATTGATATCTTTTACATGCCTTAATAAGATTGTTTATCTTCTAATTTATGTATGTTCATTTATAAAATAAATTACTTTTGTTCATTCAATTGTTGTCACTATCAGAAAACTTGGTCATTTTCACCTTGTACAATGACAATCACTTATACAAGAGGCATATTTTGATCTTGTTCTTGCACTCTATTTGCTATACAAGATAAAATGTTAAGGAGGTAAAGCAGAATTGCCTCAAAGCATTAATAATAAACTTAATATAGTAAATGTATGGAAAGTCTCAGATCCAGTAGCTTTACACATTCAAAAAAGGCAAGCAGAAATTGATCCTAAGTCAGTACGAAGGCATAAAGTTTCTTATGTACACCAAAAATAGCCTAATTGGAATATACAATCATGTTCACAACCAGTGGAGAGTTGAAGGTTAACTTATAGCTACGTCTCATAGCAGCTTCCTCTTCAGGCTGCCATTGTCAATGCTGGCATCACCAATTTCAGGGGAGTTATCAGCTTCTGAAGCTTTGCTTAATACCTTGCCTCGGTTCCTTGACAATTTCTTGACCCAAGTGATAGTTAACATTCGTTGAGAATCATCCATCGCAACTGGTTTATTAGCTTCAGTAAAGACTGGATTCACCAATATGTCTCTGTTTGGTTTATTAGCTTCAGTAAAGACTGGATTCATCGATATGTCCCTGCTTGGCATCAGCTCTTCTTCTGGTACTGCATTCTTCATCAGCTGTGTGCACAATGATCATTTGGTTATAATGTTAGACCAAGAAGCAAAAGTAATATGTGATCATATGGATTGCTCGTGTAACAAAGAAACAATCTGGACTCTTGCACATAGTATCTCCCTACCTCCCAATCAGCAAAATCCAATCTGAAGACAAAGTGGCTGTATTTAACTTCACCAGACTTAACTAAATTGGCATCAGGACCATTCCTTGGAGCTGAGAAAGGAAGAACATTAGAAAGGAAAAAACAAACTACAGAAAGAAAGACTAGGACATACATAAATTGCACTGCACAGTAAATGAAAGATTTAGAAAGGTATCTTACAAAGAAAGTGAGATCCATTTACATCGACATCTATGACAACCCGTCCATCTTTCACTAGAAAAGAAAGCGCAAATAAATTCTCAATGCTTTGTGCAAAGGATTTTCTGTTCATTATGAGATTCTCAAGCTTAACTCTCTTCTTATTCCTTCGGATTTGAAACATAGTTGATATGTTGCTGTCTGTATCTGTTTTCTCCTCCGTAACATCAAGCTGTGATACAAGACAGAATACATCATTGTGTCATGTTGGAAAGACGTAGTCTCAAGCAGATACTCTGAATTTAACTCAAGCAGCCATTTATGCTTCTAGTAAATAAACAACTACGGCACCTCAATTCCAAACAACCATAGCAAATTCTCTTACTCTGTGTCCAAGACGATACTTTGAATCCAAATTGGACGCAAAGTAAGGGAATTTGATATACACACTCGTGCATCAGTATTCAAAACACACAACTCTTACATGTACATTTTTACAACAGTAACTGCATAGTACACAAAATATGAGAAAGACTATACCTCTTTAGGTTGAGTATGCAAGTAAACCTTTGTGCGTGGTTTACGTGTAGTATACTTACGTTGCTTAACTTCACAGTTCATGGGTCCAATCCTTCAGGATAAAGCAACAAAGAAAGCACATAAAAATGCAAGAACAAGTCCCCCATACACTAACTAAATAGTGAGCATTATGCATCAAGAAAAGGGTTGCCAAAACAAAACTTACATTGTGTGGCAACCTCTTCCATTCCTAAAAATTGGTGAAAGAGCAAGCCCAAGTTTCTTCCAGCCTACTGTATTTTCATTTGGAGAGAGCCCGTTTTCATGTTTTGCACTTCGTGGCCCGAAGGCTTCGAGCAAAGAGGAAATGAATATATAAGGTGTAACATCATCAGCAGAATGTGATCTAACTGAAGCCACCAAAGTTCTGGTGAGATCAAACAATGCCTCTGCATCAGCAACTTGCTCTCTTGGCTTTTTGACTAGCAATCAAACACAATGATAAATAAAGTTAATATTTTTTTTATCACTAGTTAGTATGTAAGCAAAATTTCATTAAGAATGTTCAATTCTACCTTATAGAGTTGGAAAATGTACAAACTCTAGCTTTAGGACTTTAAAGCTTTTTCAAGGATGCGACATTAAACAAGATAGTAGTACCAAACAATTCTCCCAAATCCCAATGTTACAACAATCTACCGCAAGAAAGTAAAATACTTCTTTACTTCCACAAGGTAGGGGTATGGTCAACATACACTCTACCCTCCTCAAGGGAGCCTTTGTAAAAAAATTCTAATATATATAGAGAGAAAATTATACAAAATATATAAATCAAAAATTATTTTTCATACATATATATTAAATTTTGAACACCATATGCAAAATCTTGAACACCACTGCCCATATCTCACTTGTGAGATTTTTCTGAGTATGTTGTTGTAATAAAAGTAAGATAATAACTTCTTCAAGAAAGCCCATAATTTCATCAAGAATGTAACTTTACTCAAAACTTAAGTGTATCTCTTTCTTGTTCTTAGCACCATATGCGAAATCTTGTAAATATTCAACATAAAAATTTAAACTTTTAACATCTAAATACCATCATACTCAAGATTAAAGATCAAGAAACCCATCCATAGTCACACCATAATAATAATTGAAAAAAAAAATACCTTCATTATGAGAGTTTTCAATTTCATTCATAATTTCCTTGAACTTCTCCGAATCAACACTCCCAATATCATCTTTCCCCTCTGTATAATACATCAAGAAACAAACAAAAAACATTTTTTTAACAAAATAAGAAAAAAAAAACACAAAGGCCAATAAAAAAAGAGATTTTTCCCCCAAAAATTACCAGAAATACTGTTTTGTATAGTAGAGTATTTGCAACGAACTACTCTTGCTTGAGATATTGGTTGCTCAGTAAAACCGTTCAACTCCTCTTGAGTACTCTCAGCCATTTTTTTATAAAAAAAATATTTATTTTTTACTAAGTAGATGACGATGAATAAAATTGTGTCTTCTTTTTAAAGGGAAAACAAGAAGTTTATTTTGGGTACAATTACGTAAAATGGGGGGAGGATTTCCCGCTTGTTTGAATGTTTTACCACTAAGGTAAATTTTGTGGAAATTTACCGATCCTTTTATTTTAGGTTTTGGTTTTTCTTTTACTTTTTTTGGGTAGGAGATTTATCCCTTACCAATTATAAAAGTTAGAAAAATTATTTTATTAGACATATTTCACTACCATAAATATTATTATTACTTATACTTTCAAAATATTATGTATCTCACCACTAATTAAGAGTTTCATACGTATCTTACACGTATTTTTGCTACTAGATACACAAAAAGAGGGAGAGAGGCGAGCAAGATTCATATATATCTAGATACATGTGAATCACACTATATATATATATATGTGTGTGTGTGTGTTGTCACTTTCTTTGAGCAATATTCTATTTTTCAAAGAGAAGAATGACCAAAAGTAGACCTGACCTGAACAAGTACATCCGACCTTTCGTCTTGATTATGAATCAAGAAAGACGGGATCTAAAGGCACACAATTCTGTGTGTGTATCTAGTGTGATTCACATGTATCTGAGATATCAGATACATAGGAGAGCGGCGAGCGAGATTCGTGTATATCCAGATACATGTGAATCACACCAGATACATGTGTGTGTGTATATATATATATACACACACACATGTATCTGGTGTGATTCACATGTATCTGGAATACCAAATACATGGCAGAACGACAAGCAAGATGGGAGAGAGGCGAGGGAGGCGAGCGAGATTTGATATGTATCTCAAATACATATGAATCCATTTAGATACAATGTATCTAGAACAAATTACATCTAAATTTGACTTCATGTATCCAAGATACATGTATCTGGAGGCACCAAAATCATGTGAGATATGTAATATTGCAAACTAGACTGTATCTAAGTAACTAGCTCCTAAGTTAGTGGAATTTATGTAAGTTCCCCATAAAAGTGCTAATCTATTATGGGGAACTTACATGTTTGTCCTTTATTGTTATATTAATAAATTAATATTTTGTTCTTGTTAAGAATTTATTAATTCAAACTTTTCACATAAAATATTAAATATCATAAGATTAAATGACATACTGGTATATTTTTTATATATTTTTTCGAATTTAGAAGTTTCAAAATATTCTTTACATTCCTAAATTTGTGTAAAATTATAATAGAAAAATTAATACTTACAATAATTTCTATTTTTATTAACGAAGAAATCTCGAGAAAATTTAATAATTCCTCTAATGTCCTATTAATAATAATGATTGAAATTATTTATGATCATTATTAAAGTTTCTACACAATTGAGATAAAAATTGAATTTGTATACAAATAAAAATATTTTTAAACCAACAAAATAATTATGTGCACTATTAGAGAGTACCTTCCAGTGTTATAATTATCCTACAATTGTGAAAAAGCTAAAATCGTTAGTCAATTGTTAGTTGTTTCATAATTTTGTTAAATGGCCTAATATTTTTCACCTTTTGTTTAATAATTCCTAATTACTTAAATAGTAATTTCTAAGTAATCAAATGACGTATCATGTATTTCACTTTTGACAAAATAATTTCCCATTCTTTGAAACCTTGTAATAGAAGAAATCTCCTTTGTACCATTTTATTTTTAGAATCTCTGTACATTCTATAGATTTATAGATTCCAAAAGTTAAAGAGAGTTCATTTATTTTAAGTACTATATCAACATAGTTTATGTAAATAAATTCAAGTTCCTAAATTTTAGTTACATTATGTGTAATTAATTTCCAAGAGTATTTTGTAGAAATATAATTTCACAAAAATAGGTAGTTCCACAAAATAGGCTTAACTGATTTATGAATTTTTTTTATTCCATTTTGAACGTTTTTTTGTTTGGTTTCAATTAAAATTATCCTTAATATTTAAAGTCAACTTATTAACAAATAATTTGTAAGAGTTATTAACAACTTAATATGTAAAACCTGAAATTATACAGAAAATCAAAGTTAGTAATCGACAAAAAAGTATGAAATGCTTATTGTTATATAATCATTAATTAAAAAAACGTAATAAATACAAATAAAAGTAATTCAAAAATAAAAAAGGAAACAAAAGTTCAATAATTACTTTATAAAAATATTTATATTGAATTAGGATTCTATTCTTTTTTCAGGTGACTTCCAATTCTTTTTTTAAAGCAACAAAAACTTTACGTACTCAAATGATTTCATATATACTCAAATCACTTGTCATTTTTTGTTTTTTTTTTTCTTATTTTAAATATAGTTAGATTATAATTTTTATTTTCTTAATTATAGGTTTTAGAATATTATGTAGAAAATATCAACTTCATGAATTTAGTCTCTTAAATACTTTACTATGTACTTTCCAATTGTTTGAATATAACTATATTCATATCCAAAATATGGTCATATCATTAATAAGCTGAAATACTGAATAACTTGAAAATCAACGATATCATTATACTTGTTACATTTTTATCTTTTGAAATGTGATATGTGAGAAGTTAAGTGATTTATATATAATTATAGTTTCACACTGTATAAATGCTACATTTTCATTTTTACAAAATAAAAATAATTATAAATTTACTAAATAAAGACGAAAAATGATATTAACTATTAAAATATTTAAATTTTGACGCAATTAATTAAAATAATCGTAATTATTTATTTTGTAATTATTTATTTTTTATTTAGTTTAAGATAAGTACTGATAAAATATAAGGTTATCAACACAAATCTCATTGATTATAAGACTAGATAGTAGTGGATGGGTAATGTAGAGTTATGAAACTGTTTTTATATGGAACTGTTTTTTTTTTTTAAAGTTTTATATAAATATATAAGGTTATTTCAAACTAATAATAATTAAAATTAGATTAAAATATATAATTATGCATACGCAAAGGTTTTGTTTCACGCAATTTAAAAAAAAATATTGAGTTTTTTAAAACAGATAAGTAACAACAATAGGTTGTATGTTTCAAACATACATTTACAATATTTAATTTAATGCAATCAAAATACTTTAAATATTGAGATCTTTTTTAATAATAAGTTTTTTTATATATATTTTTTATTGTTAATTGTAAAGATTTTGTTTAGTATCAACTTAAAATTGTGCAATATAAATCTTGTATATTTGATTAAAAAAAAAGTAATTTTTATGCATATTTTACGAAAATTCTATTATATAAAAGTAGGCTCTAAAACTGAATTTTAATGTATAAGAAAAGCTAAGTTCATGTTGAGTAGTAAAAATATTTTACCGGAAGTAGTATAGTTTGAAAAGACATCGATATTAATAAAATGGTAAATATAATAAAAAAATTGTGTTGAATAATTGTCTTGAATTCAACCTCCTAACCCATAATCAAACTGTGATGAGTGTGATCCATAATCATGCAAAATCATAAAATATATTTTTTAAAAATATATAAAATTTAAAATAATTTACCTAACTAATTTATATATATATTGCTGATTCTAAGATGAAAATGTTGTCTATAAAAATCATTTTTTTTTTATTACAATATAGATATTTTTTTGAGTATGTATGTGCATGAAAAAAAGGAAAAAATAGTAATCCAAACTAAATCAACCTTTAATGAATTAAGTTATAATGAACTCTCACAACAATTATTCTTTAATGCAACTCATTAGTTAACTTAAAAGCAACATAAGAAATCAATCACCATTCATGTTTGTTCCCTGTTTCTTTTTAATAATTGCAATATGTATTGTTGAGATTCATGTATAGTGGAAAACTCTTGCAATAGGTATGTATTGTTGAGATTCATGTATAGTGGAAAACTCTTGCAATAGGATAAATCATTTTTTTCTGGATTTTCCATTGAATTTTTGCTAATGGAGTGAGTCTCTATAAAAATGACATTAATAGTTTTGTCAGTTTAAATTTTTTTAACTGAAGCGGTTGACAAACATGTCTATTAGGATGTTTTTATTTATTTATTTATTTTTTATTTACCAGAGTCATACAAAAAACTATATCTAGAATGGGTAGATATCTCCCCGAAAATGATAAGTTTACAGGAAGAAAATATATTCTTCGAAGGAATATCTTTAATGTATTTCTTTATTGAATTCTCTATTCCTTGGAATATGAAATGGTCGATTGAAGTTAATACTACTTTAGAAGGATTTCCTTGTTTACAAAGGACCTTTTATACTAAGTTCTGGAGTAAACTACTTCAGAAAAATCCTGAAGGCAAGATACATGGCCAAGAAATTATTGATTCAATCAATTTTAAGATTAGCAAGTATTATGATACTGCTACTATGGAACCCCAAGTCATAGAAGATTTAAGTCCATTTAAAAAGATTACAAGAAAACTTCAAATGAAGAAAGGACTCATCTCCGAGTTGGAAGCTATTGCCTTATACATGAAGGAGGTAAAGAAAGATTTAATGAGAAATCTTGACAATTACATAAAAGACGATATTTCTATGGCCTCAGCAAGCCATACTAATGAAGAAGATGATACATGTGTTGCTGGCGAAGGACAAGACGTTGATGAAGAGATAGATATTGAAACTATTCTCGGGAATTATCAATAACAAATAGAAGAATCTTCTAGTACAAGCACCGCTGGCAAAGGAAAAGAAGAAGGATAATATTCGGTCATTTGGTCACATGTCATAAGAGGCCAAAAAATTTAAAGATACTTTTATAAAGTATGGATAGCCGAAAGTAATGTCGGCCAACTAAGAATAAAGTAGGTCATGTGAAGACCTTAAGGGTTTGTCGGCCTTATCGTATCTCTATTGGCCAATGTAAAGATTGTGGGCCACTTCTTTTATTCGTTTTTGATTTCTAGACCTCTATATAAGAGGATGTGTGTTTTAGTAAAGAGACAGGTTTTAGAACCCCTCTCTCTCTCTCTCTAAAAATACTCTATTTGTAATATTTCTTTAAGCATTTGAATAAAAGTTGGAATTTGGTTGGCTAGAGACGTCGTCTAAAGGTATTAATTTTATTCTTAATCTTATTAATCTTCTCTGTGTATTGAGCCCCATGATGGGCTAAACTGTTTGTGTTGAGCTGTAGCATACTAGGTTACTATAATAAATGGTGTAAGTTACAATCATGAATATGGTTTAAGAATTCAGATTAAGGTCATACATAGATTATCCCGGTATGATTATGAAAGATCGATGAATTGATCCGTTGGATTACCCGTTGGATTACCCATGTGGTGGGAGAACCCGGATAGTAAGGATTTTCATATACTATAGCCAGGCTGAATTTATGTTAGTAAAGGTTCCTCACAGTCTGAATGTACGATCCACGTTTGTTATGGTATCAGAGCCATGAACTTATAGTAACTATATATGTTACTGCTCAACATAGTTTTTAAAAATATGAATATCATAAAGAAGAAGTCTACTGTTAAAAACAGTAGAAAAGAAGAATATGATAAACCTCAACATCTAGATCTACTTAATAAGTGGACTATTCCGAAAATATCACCTAGGATCATATATCAGATGAGTACTTTTGAGAAACTTGGTTTCAAGCAAGTGGTTAAAACCACATAGGAGACTATCACTATTGATAGCGATAATCAAACTTTTAGATTTTTATCTGAAAATGATTTAGCCCCTTATAGGGATATTTATCGTTTTATGCATATTGGTTTAGTACATGTAGCTTTTAAGTCCCTTACTTTACGTGGTTTACCGAAAAGTTTTATAGCAGCTTTACGTGACGGTAGAAATCATAATTGGAAGAAGTCTCTTATAGGGACAATTCAAACTAGTCTAGCATATGGACCAGTTTATTTTAATGCTTATCCTAACCTGCAGATTTCCTTGCAGGATGAGAACTCATTAAGTTCTCTTTTGTTAAAATGTTAAACTTCATGGTTATGATTATATGCCTGGCACTGAAGTTGTTTGTATCTGTTATAGAATTTATTATAAACTTTTGCATACTTTAAATCATATGTGTAAAATCATTGATTTCAAAAATTAAACTATTTTAATAGAAACTAATTTTGATAAATTCAAAGTTGTTACTAGAAGACCTATTAAGTGGGAAGAAATTGATTTTCCACAAGAATGGGTTATTGAGAATGCTACTCAACCACGTAATAATATTAATACGGATGTTTCGGAAATTGAACAGTTAAATGATGGAACTGTTAAAATTAGATTTTCCGAACCAACTAATAGGTTTATTGAAATCGTAGCATGTCTTCTAGAATGACTAGATCCAATTCGTCTTATATTTCCCCTATTGATTATATTGTTCAGATCCCTTCCAGAGCTTCTACTTCTCAAATTAGGGAAAATTATAGATGTGATAATATAAAAATTGATAATGATAATATTGTAAGACCTGTCCCCAGGCCTAGCTCAGACTTAGATATAACTGAATCTGAAATGAAGTTTCCAGATGGACTAACAACTTAATATTTGTTTTATGATGTTTGACAATCAGTTTGATTTTAGTCCGGGATCACCGGCAAGAGCAAGAATCGCTAAAGACTTTCAGCGAAAAAAATGGAAGCTTTTTAGAAAATGATTCTTCAAAAACTTTAATAAAGAAGAACAATATGGTTTTCAAGAGGAATTTGATAACGATATTATAAATTCAGGAATAAATAAATTAGTTGCTTTTCTTCCTTGGTTTATGTGTAAACATGTTCATAACTATGTTTCTATGCTAGAGAAAGATTTCACTCTAAGCAATGGAGAAATTACGAAATCAGTTTTTCCTCCACATCAGTCTTTTCAATTCAATAAAAATGATAGGATTGTAAATTTTAATGCTTTTTCAAAATTGTTTGAAAATGATACTGCTTTAGTGACTACTAGTCATGTTAATGCTATTATCAAACAAAATAATTATGCAAATATTTATATGAGCATTTTAGGTGAGCATATTGTCTCTTTGCATGATAAAATGGATAAAATTATTACTCTATTACCTACTAAGGTAAAAGGTAAAGAAAAAGTTGCTCATAGTAGCTTACAACCTCCGCCTGAAATTGATAATTTCAAGCTTAAAGATTATTTAGATCTTGAGAATTTTTTAGAAAAGAAATTCAAGTGAAGCCTAGCCTATTAATGCAGAGAATTTCTTACAAGGAGAATCTAGTAAGAATATAGAATTTTCTGATGAGGTTAATAAAATCTCAGAAAGATATGCGAGAAAGCCAGTCCAAAGGATGTACTACTATCCTAGACCCACTCCTTAAGATGTTCTGCTAGAGGAACATGAACATATTATAACTAATAGTTATAATGGAAAGGAAATTTTTGAATGGAACATTGATGGTTATACTGATAGACAGATTTATACAACTGTCCATCATATGCTTATGTAAAGTACTATCTGTAAAACCAATAAGAATAGTGATAAGACTATTGTAGATATGATAACTGCAGATTTTACTGGCCAATTGAAAGGTTGGTGGGATAATTATCTCAATCAGGAGCAAAGAGATAAAGTTCTACAAGTAGTTAAATTAGAAGGAGAGCAATATACTCAGAATGCAGTTTATACACTGGTTCTAAATATTATTGAACATTTTTCAGGAAGATGGTCAGAAAATAGCGAGACCATTAGAAACTTGCTTCAAAACCTTAGATGTAAAACTCTTACATCATTTAGGTATTATAAGGATGTGTTTTTATGCAGAGTAATGGAATTGCCAGAGTGTAATAGCACTCATTGGAAATCCAAATTTATAGATGGATTACCAACTCTCTTTGCTGAAAGGGTTAGAAAAGCCATCAGAGGAGAAAATCACAGTATAAATTATGATGAGTATACCTATAGAAAGCTTATAGGTGCTTGTGTCCAAGTAGAATTAGCATTGTGCAATGAGATTAAGTTGAATCAACAGATTAAGCGACATCGCTTAAATGAAAGAAAACAACTAGGAGAGTTTTGCGAACAATTCACATTTGATATTCCCAAACAAAAATCTAAAGATAAGGAATATACTCCTAAGAAGAAAAAATCTTCCAAGAAATATTATGAGAAATGGAAGAAAAAGAGGATTGAAAAAAAGCTTAGAAGAGCTGAAGAAGGAAAATGAGACTCTTCTAAGAGAAAGATGAAGTATCGTCAGAATTATAATAGATCAGATACTTGCCACAAATATGGAAGATTTGGTCACTATGCCAAGAATTGTCGAGTCAAGGAAAAAATTAAAAGCCTTGATATAGGAGATGATATTAAGGATTCTTTTTATAAGATCATGCTTAATTCTGATTCAGAAAAATCAGGATCAGAAAGCAGTAATGAAGGATCCTCAGCTAGTGAAGATCTCAAAGCCCTTCAACAAGAAGATTATGCAACTTCTGAGGATGAGTGTTCACCTTGCCAACAAGGAATGACATGTGAAAAGGAAGATGATGAAGTTGATCTTTATAAGATCTATGACCAATTTAAAGAATTGAGTCTTAATGTGATTGATAATGACAAAGTATTGGAGCTTTTACAAAATATTAAAGATTCGAAAATAAGAGCTCAAATTATTGATAAAATCAGTAATAATCCTCCTAGTAAGGAAAAGGATCATATTCCTGAAGAAATTCCTACTAAAGAAGGTTCATATACCATGACAGAAGTTAAAAATCTTTTGCTCGAAAGGAGAAAGATGATAAGTTCTCCCACTACGATTAATGACCTAAAGGAAGAGGTTAAGATCCTCAAGGAGGACATCATTCGGTTGAAAGAAAAGAATGTGGTAATAGAAGTGAGACTTGACGCCATTCAAACTCGCCAAGATTTGGAAAATGTATCTGAATCTTCCTCTTCTCTTGAAGGAGAAAATAATAGTCTTGATTTTATGAAAAACCTTTACTTAAAAAATGATAAAACATATTTCTTATATAGTCTTAAAGCTTTTACTTCTCAAAAGTTTTATACAAAAATCACTCTTCTTATAGATTATAATTATAAAAAAGAGTTTATAGCTCTTATTGATAGTGCGGCTGATTTAAATTGTATTCATGAAGGACTTATACCTTCAAGATATTTTCATAAAACTACACATAGTCTTCGATTTGCTAATGGTAGCAAAATGAATATTGAATTTAAATTACCCAAAGCTTTTATTTGCAAAGGAAAAAGTTGTGTTCCACAAAGCTTTGTTTTAGTAAAAAACATCACCAATCAAATTATTTTGGGTGTCCCTTTCATAAATGATATTTTTCCTCGTACTTATTGGGATAATAACAAAATTGTGGGTACTTGGAATAACAAACCTTTTATACTTGAGTTTGTTACAAAACCTTTTTCTAGAATGATAAATAATCTAATTGAAAAATTAATTTCGAAAAATAATCAGGTCAACTTTTTAAAACAAGAAATTATTAGCATTGAAGTTGATCATACTTTACAAAATCCTAAATTACAGAAAAAGATTGCTATCCGAGCAAATCAATTCTCTCTTGATATATGTGGAGATCATTCTAATGCTTTCTAGAGCAAGAAAAAGCATGGTGTTAATCTTCCATATGATGATGATTTTGATGAGAATAATATTCCTACCAAGGCCAGACTTTGTTAGATGAACTCAGAATATTTGGAGTTATGTAAAAAGGAAATTAGTTCTTTACTACAAAAAGGCTTAATAAAGCAATCAAAATCACCTTGGTCATGTACAACATTTTATGTTAATAAACATGCAGAGCAAGAAAGAGGAGCTCCCAGATTGGTAATAAACTATAAACCGCTTAATAAAGCGTTACGTTGGATCAGGTATCCCATTCCTAATAAAAAGATTTACTAGATGGAGTATATGATGCTATCATATTTTCTAAATTTGATCTAAAATCAGGTTATTGGCAGATTCAGATAGCAGAGTCAAATAGATTTAAAACTGCTTTTAATGTGCCAATGGGGCAATTCGAATGGAATGTCATGCCATTTGGATTAAAAAATGCTCCATCTGAATTTCAGAAAATTATGAATGATATCTTTATGCCTTATAGTAATTTTATAATAGTTTATATAGATGATATCTTAGTGTTTTCCAAAAATGTGGAAACTCATTTTAAACACCTTGAATTATTTAAGAAAATTATTATGCAAAATGGATTGGTTTTATCACAACCTAAAATGGCTTTGTTTAAAACAAATGTCAGATTCCTTGGTCATAATATCGAAAGAGGTAATATTAGTCCTATTAATAGGAGTATTGAATTTGCTTCTATATTTTCTGATATTATTACTAATAAGACTCAGCTGCAGAGATTTCTTGGAAGTCTTAATTATGTTGCTCCTTTTATTAAGGATTTAGCAAAAGATACAACTATCTTATATGACAGATTAAAAAATAATCCTAAAGCTTGGTCAGGTGATCATTCTAAAGCGGTCAAAAGGATTAAATAGAAGGTTAAAAACCTCCCTTGTTTGACCTTAGACAATCCAAATTGGGCAAAAATAGTAGAGACTGATGCTTTAGACATAGGATATGGTGGAGTATTGACCCAGTTTTGTCCTGATAATAAGCGTCATTACATTGTACAATTTTATTCGGGTAAATGGAACGATGCCCAGAAGAATTATGCTACTATAGCTAAAGAAATCTTGGCTATAGTAAAATGTGTTCTTAAGTTCCAAGGCGATCTTTATAACCAAAAGTTTTTAATAAAAACTGATTGCCAAACGGCTAGGTTTATGTTTAATAAAGACTGTAAACATGATGTTTCCAAACAAATGTTTGTTAGATGGCAAACTCTTTTATCACCTTTTGATTTTGAAATACAATATAAGAAGGGTGAAGATAATAGTCTTCCTGTTTTTCTCACTAGAGAATATTTGAATTAATAGAATTTAATTTCTTCTTTTCAGGATGAGACCAGTAAGGTCCCCTCCCTCCAGAAGAGGAAGAAGAGGTCATATCCTTGCTCAACAAGGCAACAAAACACTGACAACATTTAATAGTAATGTTTCAGCTGCTTCATCAAGTGGAACTAGTGGTATTGATATAAACCACCTGATGTATAAAGAGTTTATAAACTTTATGAAGTCCAAAAAAGAGCCGGATAATAATCAACATACTCTTCAATTCTGATTGATGATGAGAACAAAGAGGTATTTGATATGAATGACAAAAAAAAAGTTATACTTCTTTTAGAAGAAAATGATCTCAAATGGAGAAATGAGCCATGGCAAATAATGGCTAGGTATTTGGATACAATATCATATACTACTGCAGTATACAAATACAGAATGCACTATGAGATAATACTCTCATCTACAGGGTGTGAGTTTCAGCATTTATATCCTGCTAATACGAAGAAAGTTTATAACTTTTCCAAATTTATTATAAAAAAGATATTAGCACCCGAAGAATGGGGTATGAGCACATTAAAGGAATTAGATTATATCCATCCGCAACAAAAAATTGCAGTCAAATACAATTACTGGGATTATATTGATGGATTTAATAAAGTCCTTTTATATGAGAATGCCAATAAAAAACATTCATTGTATGTATTTGACAGACATATCCTTAATTGGTTTCGCAAATGGTGGACTTTATAAGGTCCCTCGGTAAAAATCTTACCAGAGTCATACAAAAAACTATATCTAGAATAGGTAGATATCTCCCCGAAAATGATAAGTTTACAGGAAGAACATATATTCTTCGAAGGAATATCTTTAATGTACTTCTTTACTGAATTCTCTATTCCTTGGATTATGAAATGGTCGATTGAAGTTAATACTACTTCAGAAGGATTTCCTTGTTTACAAAGGACCTTTTATACTAAGTTCTGGAGTAAACTACTTTAGAAAAATCCTGAAGGTAAGATACATGGCCAAGAAATTATTGATTCAATCAATGTTAAGATTAGCAAGTATTATGATACTGTTACTATGGAACTTCAAGTCATAGAAGATTTAAGTCCATTTAAAAAGATTACAAGAAAACTTCAAATGAAGAAAGGACTCATCTCCAAGTCGGAAGCTATAGCCTTATACATGGAGGAGGTAAAGAAATATTTAATGAGAAATCTTGACATTGACATAAAAGATGATATTTCTATGGCCACAACAAGCCATACTAATGAAGAATATGATACATGTGCTACTGGCGAAGGACAAGACGTTGATGAAGAGATAGATATTGAAACTATTCTCGGGAATTATCAACAACAAATAGAAGAATATTCTAGTACAAGCACCGCTGGCAAAGGAAAAGGAAAAGCATAATATTCGGTCATTTGGTCACATGTCATAAGAGGCCAAAAAATTTAAAGATACTTTTATAAAGTATGGATAGCTGAAAGTAATGTCTGCCAACTACGAATAAAGTAGGCCATATGAAGACCTTAAGGGATTGTCGGCCTTATCGTATCTCTATTGGCAAATGTATAGATTGTAGACCACTTATTTTATTCGTTTTTGATTTCTAGACCTCTATATAAGAGGATGTGTGCTTTAGCAAAGAGGTAGGTTTTAGAACCCCCCTCCCCCCCTCTCTCTAAAAATACTCTCTTTGTAATATGTCTTAAAGCATTTGAATAAAAGTTGGAATTTGGTTGGCTAGAGAAGTCGTCTAAAGGTATTAATTTTATTCTTAATCTTATTAATCTTCTCTGTGTATTGAGCCCCATGATGGGCTAAACTGTTTGTGTTGAGCTGTAGCATACTAGGTTACTATAATAAATGGTGTAGGTTACAATCATGAATATGGTTTAAGCATTCAAATTAAGGTCATACATAGATTATCCCAATATAGTTATGAAAGATCGATGAATTGATCCGTTGGATTACCCATGTGGTGGGAGAACCCGGACAGTAAAGATTTTCATATACTATAGCCATGCTGAATTTATGTTAGTAAAGGTTCCTCACAGTCTAAATGTACGATCCGTGTTTGTTATGGTATCAGAGTCATGAACTTATAGTAACTATAGATGTTACTGTTGATACGCTCAAATTACACCTCCTTACAGAAGCATAAACGATCGTTATCAAGTAAAGAACCCAACTTGTAGATTGGGATCGATCCCGCGAGGAAAATGGTTTAGACTTTACTTTTAACCAACAATTATATTCAATTAGTCAAATTATTTCCAG